TAGTGGCTAGGCGGTCAGGCAGGCGCGTGGCAATGAGGTAAAGGGTAGCGCAAAGCAGCGGCGGAAAGGCAGTAAGCTATGCCTCGGTGCTAGCGGCGCAGTAGCTAGTCTCGAGTGTGCGGAGGCGAGTAGCAAGGTCAGCGACAGTGGGGAAGGACGCAAGGTCAGGGAACAGGATGGGGAGGATCATGCAGTCGGCAGAGGCTGAGGCAGTGGTGGAATAGCGCGCGATGACGGCATCTAAGTATTCCTTGGCGTTTGCTACAGCAGTAAAGCGGGGACGCTCAGACAGGGGGAGGGCGTGACTAATGGCAAGTTGAGCAACGGCGTCACGTGAATCCCAGACAGCGTAGGCAAGCTGCAGCGACAAAAGCCTCACGCTCAGCAGACGTGGGGGCGTCAGGGAGGGCAGCAGGCGGGGCGGGGTGAGGGAGCTTACCGTCTAGATGGACGGCCAGGGAATGGCCGTCCTGGCGCTGCACGGTCAGCTGGTGGCGGAGGTCGACGAGCCACGCCTCAAACTCAACAGCCCGACCCTCCGCGTCTAGGTGGAGCAGAGAGTCCGCCATCACTTCGGCTGCAGCAGCTGACTGCCGCTGACAAGGGGAGGAGAGAAAGCGGAGGAGGGTAGTGGAGAGTGGTGGAGTACGGTGGAGTGCGGTGGAGTGCAGTGGGGCAATGGAGTGCAATGGAGGGTGGTGAAGTGTGGTGGAGAGCAGTGGAGACTGCTGGCGGGAGCGCCGACTCAGAGGGGAAGCCAAGGCCGGTGGGGTGGGGGGCGGCAGCTGGTGGCTACGGCCGTCTGGCGGTGACGGGCGGGCAGTTACAGGCGGGCCAGCAACTACGAGTGGGCTGGCGGCAACGGGTGGCCAGCGGGGACAGGCGGCTGGTGGCAGCGGGTGGCCAGCTGCGATTGGCAGCTGGCAGCAACGGGCGGTTGGCAGCTACGGGCGACCAGCGGCTACGGGCGGCCAGCGGCTACGGGCAGCTAGTGGCAATGGGCGGCCAGCGGCTACTGGTGGCTGGCGGCTACTGGCGGCTGGCAGCTATGGGCGGCCAGTGGTTACAGGCGGCTGGCGGCAGCGGGTGGCCAGATGCGGGCGGGCTGGCGGCAACGGGCAGCCAGCGGGGACAGGCAGGCTGGCAGCGAGGGGCGGCCAGCGGCGACAGGTGGCCAGCGGCACCAAGCGGCTATAGGCGGCCAGCGGGCTACGGGCAGCTGGCGGTTACGAGCAGCAGCGACTGGCGACGGGCATTTGGCGGCTAAGGGCGGCCAGCAGGCTGGCGGCTACGGGCGGCTGGAGGCTACGGGCGGCCAGCGGGCTGCGATCGATGGGCGGCGGGCAGCCGGCGGTTACAGGCAACGGGCGGCTAGTGGCGGCTAGCGACGGGCAGCTAGGAACGGGTGGCTTCGGCTATGGCTAGGACGAGGGCGGAAGCGCGGGTGGGGGGGATCCTAACCTAGCATGATACCATCTCAGAGTAAGAAAATTGACTAGAAGGATGGGGTACAAGGAAATATGAGCATGCACCTATCTAGCCTATAAAATATACAAAATATATGTTGACAACCAAGGCTTTAAATAGGTTTACGACAATCCTGGGGGAAAGGGGGAGTTCACTCAGAGGTTCTATGCTTCTCGTCAATACGCAGAAGAGAACATGGTGACTGCTGTGATGCGCAAAGAAGATACTTCACCCCAAATTGTCGTTTTGCAGATCGTTGCCGCAGTTGTCGATTTTTTGCCGAGATGCCTTGAAACTTGGGGGTAGGAATGAAAACTCCCAACCACGATGAGACGAGAAGGTCTGCAACTTGCTCTGTTGTCGTTGTCACTGTTCACAGAGAACTTGGCGGGATCCACTGTCGAGAAGGGAATCCAAAGTTGAGCCAATCCGAAAACTTCAAATTTCTCCCCTACACTTCGAGACGTGGAGAAAGGGTGTTGCTGAAATTCGTTCCAGGGTGTTGCTGCAGGTGTGAAGCCTTTTCCAGGTGTTGCAACGGAAATTTTTGGTGATGCCCTCCAGCAATCTCGGCTGGGAATCAGTATTGGAGTAGTGGGAAAAGTGTGACTAAGGGAAAATGTCGAGGGATACAAAACTAGGGTTGTACTTGCTAAGAACTAAACTAGCTAGGCTATAAACAAATATGACCTAGCTAATCTGTATAGATATATTTGTTGACACATCCCCTAGCCTAGACAGTATGACCTCTGGTGAAGGCAATAAGTCAACTCAGGGCAGCACTACTAGTCTGACAACTAAGACAAAGGCCACAAGGTCAGTTAGCAAGTGTAGCAAGGCATGCAGGTAGAGAACAAGTACAAGCAGGTATAGTATGACTCATGATACAAGGAGTGGTGCTGCTACAGAGACTAGACCAAGCTGAGTACAGAACCACTGATGGTCACGAGGTGCAAGTGCCTTGGTGAAGTTATCAGCGGTATTGGCCTCTGTGGCCAACTGTACCACTCGAGACTGGCCGCGCTGCTGCAACTTACGCAGCAGAAAGTACCGCAGCTGGATGTGCTTCGCCTCGCTCTCAAGTCGAGCCTCCTGACACAGGAGGATCATGGCCCTGTTGTCAGCAAACAGGACCGGGCCAGACCTAGGCGGCTCACCAAAGTCTGTGAGCAAGAACGTGAGCCAGCGAAGCTCATGAGACAAAGAAAGCAAGGACTGACAGGGTGTGCTATATCTGGTCGAGTGCAGGTCATCAAGTACATGAGGCACCCCACCAGCTCTGCGTATGGACTACTAGCCTCGGCCGGCTCAGCCAGAATAGGAGCAGAGAGCTTGTGATCCACAAGAAGAGGGGTGGGCTATGCTGAGGAGAACTGGAGACTACATCTGTGGAGGATCTGTTGCACCATATGGGACTGGGAGAGTGTGATCGTGCGAGCGGCACAGTCACGAGAGATCTCCAAGCCCAGATAGCGCCTCAGCTCCCCCAAATCTGTACGAGTATGTCTCCTAAGTAACATGGCCTTCACTGAGGCCAGTGCGACTCTGTCAGGAGTAGCAAAGATAAGATCGTCTACGTACAGTAGAATGTAGAACGGTGTCTGACCCATGGGAACAAAGAGAGAGGGGTTAACAGAGGACGGAAAGAACTGCAGCTCAGCAAGAGTGGTGCGAAGCGTGTCGTGCCACTCACAGAGTGCTTCATGAAGGCCGTAGACAGGACAGAGAAAAGCCTAGAGGGCACTGGAGGTAGATCTACTCATGCATACTACCCTGCAGGAATGCTGTGGAGAAGTTGAGTGAGTGAAGCTCGTAGTCACGCTGCGCGGCTATGTGAAGAAGGACCCGAAGTGTAGTCATCTTCGGGGTCAGGGAGAAGGTCTGGAGGAAGTCCACACCCTCACGCTCGCTGAAGCCTCTAGCCACGTAACGCGCCTTGAACTTCGGCGGCTCTCCAGATGCGCGCTTCACCCTGTAGATCCACATGCCACCGACTATGTTCGGCCCAGGCTGGGGAACTGCGTCGACGTAAGTGCCTGTGGATCTGTAGGATGCCATCTCAGCCTCCATGGCCTGTATCCTTTGGGTTGCTCAGGGCCCCGACACCGCCTCAACGTAAGAGCGCGGAAGAGGGATGTCGAGAGCATCCGGATCGCCCTCTGCTAATACAAGCATGGAGCAGAGATGGGGAACAGCGGCAGCAAGGTAGGCCAACTCGTACTGCCTGTCCTCTAGCACGTCACTGCCAAGGGCAAATGCACCCCCGACCGATGGAGGACGAGCAGTATCAGAGACCAGAGCGGCAGCGTAATCAAGGCGGTGGCTAGCAGCAAAGTCAGTGACAGCAGTGACAAGCGCAGAGATAGACTCAGGAGGGAGGACTGTGACAAGTGACGACGGGAGCGAAGACGAGGGAGGCAACGGGAGGACTGTGATTGGAGGAGCACGCAAACGGAGGACCATATGGTGGACACTAGTACGGGGAGAGATAGGACGAGCACCAAAGGGGCGATGGACCTAGTGGGGAAGAACTGGGGACTGGGGACGAGGGGGAACTGGGGACAAGTCAGGGGATGGAGGGAAGCGCGGGGGAAAACGAGCCGGAGAGGAGTCCGGAGGAGAGAACAACGGGTCGTAAGCAGGGTCACGCATTTGAGGGGGGACGGGTGGGCGGAGAGGGGAACTTGGAGAAAGACCAAGGAGGGCAGACTGCGGCTGCTCGTGCTACGGCGGCTGCGCCTGCTACTGCGGCTGCGTCTGCTGCTGCAGCTGCAACTCCTCCGTGTCCTCTCCAGGACCTCCAGCGGCACCACGGCTGCCACCAGCACTCCCTGAAACAGCACCCCCAAGACTAACACCCTCGAACGCAGCACCCACAGAGTCAGCACCCCCAGAACCAACACCCCCAACACCAACACGTCTAACACCAGCACCCCCAGAACCAGCACCCCCAGAGCCCACTACTCCCCTGCTGCAGCCGCTGAGTCTGCTGTGGCGGCTGCTTCTGCTGCTGAGGCAAGGGGGGAGGCGGCTGAGGGGACTGGGGTACCAAGGCTGAGGGAGGCGCCGCAGGGACAGCAGGCGCGCCCCCAGCAGCTGGGCCCCCAAAGTCAGCCGAATCCCCCACAGGCACAACCGAGGGGAACTGAGTGGCGTGGGAGACACCAGACTGGGTCGGGTGGGGAGGGAGGGGTGCGGCAGGCGGGGAAGGGACAAGAAAGAGAGGAGGAGGAGGCACAGGAGTGCTGCAGTGCGGGAAGCGTCGGTAGTAGGGGAGTGTCTTGTCGAAGGTAACGTTATGAGAATGGTAAAAGCTATGGTGCGATGGGTGGTAGAACAGCCAGTCAGAGGCGTCAAGCAGAAAACCTGAGAGCTTGTCAGCGCTAGTGTCGTGAACGTGAGCAAGGCTGCCCCAGACGTGGAACACAGAAGCGTCACCAGGAGACCGGGTCCAGAGGAGGGTCGGCGAAACCTGTGGCCGCTGGGAGCACGGCCACAGGTTAAGCTGGTGAGTAGCATAACGCACAGCGAACGGCCACAGAAAATGGGGTGCACCAGCGTAGACCATGGAGGTGCGAGCCACCTCCATGATCAGGCCGATGCGTCGCTCAGCGACCCCAGTTTGCTGTGGGGAGTAGTAGGCTGACAATAGCAGGAGCGAGTGACAGTAAGACGGCAGTGGCGGCCAGCTAGCAGTGGGCTGTAGCTGCTAGGATGAGTAGGGAGCAAATGAGGAGGAAGTACGCGCGAGAAGAGCTACTAGGAGCAGCACACCGAGGGGCTAGCTAGGAGTCACTAGGACTGGCGGCACATGGCGATTGACGGTCCACAGGGCACAGGGGACTCATGAGGCTGGCAGCTGACTGGCGACTGGTGACTGGCGACCGACTGGCGACTGGCGGCTGGTGGCCGATGGTCGACGGCTGGCCACGAGTGGTGGCAGCTGGCGGCTGACTGCTGGGGGTCGGCAGCAGGTTGCCGGCGGTCGGTTGCTGGCGGCTGGCGACTGGTGCTGGCTGCTGGTGGCCAGGCGAGTGGAGGCTTAAGCTAACGGTTGGCAACAGCAGTGGCGACAGGAGTGGCAGCGGCGGCAGTAGTGGGAGTGGCAACTGAAAGGGCAGCGGCGGCAGTGGCGGTAGTGGCGGCTGCAGGGGCAGCGGCGGCAGTGGCGGCTGCAAGGGTAGCGGCGGTAGTGGCGGCTGCAAGGGCAGCGGCGGCAGTGATGGCTGGAAGGGCAGCGGTGGCAGCCGCAGCTGCACGGGCAGCGGCAGCAGCGGCGGCTGTAGCGGCAGAGGCGGTAGCGGGAATGGCGGCAGCGGCAGTGGCTGCAGTAGCTGCGGCTGTGGCGGCGGTGGCAGCACAAGCTGCGGTAGGGGCGGCCGCAGTAGTGGCAATGGCGGCAGCAGCTGCGGCAGTGGCAGTGGCGGCAGCAGTAGTGGCGGCAGCAGCAGTGGCGGCCGTAGCTGCAGCAGTCGTAGCGGCGGCAGTGGCTGCAGTAGTGGTTTCAGCGGCAGTGGCAGCTGAAGTGGCGGCGGCTGTCTGGCAACTCGCTGGCAGCAGCTGCTGGTGGCGAGCTGGCGGACGCTGCTGGTGGCTAGCTGGCCGGCACTGCAGGCGAGTAGCTGGCAGCAGCTTCTGGCGGCGAGCTGGCGGACGCTGCTGTCGGCTAGCTGACCGGCGCTGCTGGCTGGCTGGCAGGAGGTGTGCGAAATTGAAAGGGGCACACGCGCGGAAAGGAAGAAGAAGAAGAAGAAGAAGAAGAAGAAGAAGAAGAAGAAGAAGAAGAAGAAGAAGAAGAAGAAGAAGAAGAAGAAGAAGAAGAAGAAGAAGAAGAAGAAGAAGAAGAAGAAGAAGAAGAAGAAGAAGAAGAAGAAGAAGAAGAAGAAGAAGAAGAAGAAGAAGAAGAAGAAGAAGAAAAAGAAGAAGAAGAAGAAGAAGAAGAAGAAGAATGGACCCCCCTACTGATTGGCTGGGTCGCCCAGATCTTCAGCACCACCACCATGTTTACCAATTCGGGTTTAATGATAATCCGACGGTCCTGGACGAATGACGGGGGTGAGCTTGCGGATTACCCTGCGCTGGTGGATCGTTTGAAGGAAAACGAAAATTGGTGTCACGAATTTTGCCAAGGTGCGGCGATGGGTGAACATCGGCACAGCGAGGTTTCGACGGCATCTGCAACAGCTTCGTAATTTTCACAAATTAAAAATTGCGGGCAACAACAGCAGCAGCTTTTCGGCAGAGCGTGCGGGCTACTGTTCGAAAGCAGATTGAAGATCTTTGCAGCAGTTTGGAGCCGAAAAATCATGGGTTACTGTTGCAGTGGGAGAAGCGTGTTGCTGTCACGGAAAATTTGGAGTGCCTCAGGAGCCTTCAACGAGTGTCCCAAATATGAGGGGCTATACTCGGGGGTTTCGGATAGGACCTATTCAAAAGTTACCTGGACGGACGCAAAGATGGGTGAACGTCGGCGCGTCGCTAAAACGTCGGGTCGTTCCAAATGGGAAATCCTTTGATTTTTTTGCTGGAGCGGTAGCGAGGGTCCACGGGTACCTACCGAGCTGTGCGATGGTTTAAATACCAGCACGGTGTGTCGGTGAAACAGCAGAAAACGTGTTTCTAGAAGCTGAGAACCGCACCCAAGTTTTTTCTGGGGTACCTTCTGTAGCCGTGCGATGGGTGAACGTCAGCACGGTGAACCGGTCAGGAAGTTAGCAAAATATTCTTCAGCGGGTAACAACACGAATCAGATCAATGGCATTTTGAGGAGATGAATTTTTATCTATAGCGTTGAATGGAGCCACGGTATGTGCAGACGCCGTTGCGCTGCATTTCTTTTTCAATTTCCCTCAACGACCTCAGCAACGTCGACGGTCCAATGCAGTTTGACCGACAGCATCGACGGACAAGACACGTTCGCAAATGAGATGGCTCGCGACGACTTTCGGCATTTTCGCTGGCGTTTGAGAAGTACGAGACTTTGATTGGGGCGTATCTACAACAACGGTTAAACCGACACGACGTTAAGGTTTGAAGACCCAAGTGTTGTTCGTCAAGGCGCTGATGGAGTTCGCTGAATTTCGCGAGACACAGACACTTGTCTATGCATGTGTCGCGAACGACCTCGTGACTTGGTGAACGGGTCCTCGTAATCCTGACGCACGTGGGGGCTTTACAGTTTCGGCACTACGGACAAGATCAGATATCGCAGTTGATTTCGGCCCGCAGAACATATCTGATCTTGTCCGTAGTGCCGAAACTGTCAAGCCCCCACGTGCGTTTGCAGTTACAGTAGCAGATTACAAATGAGTGTCAATAGAAATGAGGCATAGGGCTTATATAGGGCGATCGACCAGGGTTGAATGTCGAGGGTTGGACCAGTCACGAGCTTGATAGTCCCGAGGGTGACGGGGTCAAAATCGGTTCGGGGCGACTCGGGATGAGGTTGGGGCTGACGAGGTCGACGGGGGCTGGTTTGGCGCGTGAATTGAGGGCCGAGCCTGCGGACGCGAACTATTCGCGTGTACTTGCTGTGGTGAGCCCCAGTAAGGAATGGTAATTGCTTACACTCTCCCACCTTTTAAAGGAAGGCACTCCCTTTATCGAGGCCGAACATTCATTAAAAGTAATCCCCGATGTGACTGTAAGTCTTCAGCCCTCTGACGAGCGTAATGATTACGCCGGCCTGACGAGGTCTTGAGGTCGAACTGAAATCGATGGCCAGAAAGCATCGAAGCGATTGCTTTTAATCTCAGCCATCGAAGATGGTCGAATTCTCTAGCTGACCGAACGGGCAAGGGTAAATACTACAGCGGAAGACTGTAACACTAAATCTGTCGAGTGGTCGATAAATGATGGCGCGTGGCAGATGAATATCTTGAAATGATGACTGGCGAATAACGTGATGGTCGATGAAATGAAGAACCCGCTCATCAAACGCTAGGTTGTTCATGTCACATGCGAGAGCACGCGTATGTGTCCCACGAAAGTCAGCTAACTCCATCAATGAAGTGACGAAATTAGGCGCGGGAGCTTAACAGTGACGAATGATGCTCGAAGATGGATGATGGAACACGCCGAAGGGTCAGACGGAAAATTGCAGCACAGCTGCACTTCTCCCCCCCTTCTAGAAGAAACAGCTCCCAGAAGCTCGGGTAAAACGCCAAGAAACCCAAAGCTCCAGGGTACTCAAGCTCATCCCACACTGCTGCTAAAAATCCCACAAATCTGTGTCGACGATGCCGTTGCAAAACTCCAACCGTTAGAAATCCCAAATATGCTCCAAAGTTGAAATTCCTCTGCAGGGTAACCGCTCCAAGTGACTTGAAACTCAGAAGTAACTGCTCCGGAAGACTCGCAGATGAACTGAAAATTCTGCACGAGTAGGAACACTGCTTGCGAGCTGGTCCCAACACAGCTCCAACAGTACTGCTGCAAAATATTTTCGCTTCGATACTGCTGCTGTCGATTCGGATGGCGAGGAGGGGTCGTGTTCACACAATCAGGCGAATTGAGGATGGAGGTGGTAGCGGGTGATGGCGAGAGGAAGGCGACGATGGTGAGGGTAGTAACCTATACTGAACCACGCCAGTGGAAAACCTTGAATAGAACCCGAAGTCAAATGCCGCTAGCTGCATCAGCTACTTTGTCCGTACACGCCGAAATATTCGAGGAGAACCGAAACAGCTACTGCTCTCCCTCCGCTCGATGTACCCGGAATACTCTGCAAATTTCGGTCAATGTTGCTCGTACCCCCGATGATAGCAGGCACAACTCCACCTATAAACTCTTCAACTACTCCTCAAACCCACCGAAAATGTGCAACTCCATCGATGCTTAACCAAGACTGCAACACTGGTTCACAGCTATCCGTAAAAACACTCAGGCGCCACGGCGTCCTTTGGCAGGGCCCCCACGGTTTCTCCATCAGCTCTATGCATGAACTGAACCCTTCATATTGGGGAACACCGGAGTCCACCGCCTCGGCATGATGTTTTGGCCGTCGATCAGGGTCAAACGCGCATCATACGCCGTTGATCTCCACCCAGCTGTTACCCAACACTAAAAGTTTGCCAGCTACTCCGTCAGATCTTTGAAGAATTCCCTACCTGATACCCTGACGTTTACCCAGCGCGTCGACGTTCACCCATCATCACGCTCATCCGGGTACCAAAGTAGGTCCTAGGCTTTCGCCTTAAAATAGCCCGCTTGATCCTGGTCAACTTCCTCCGCTTAGCTGCACTCCAAAACTTTCAAAAAACAGTGACGAACTCCTCCATCTGTAACCCAAAATTCTTCAAAAATACTCTGGTACCCCTGCTAGCTAGCCGTGCAGACGTTCACCTATCTCGCAGCTGTTGCAGGTTACCGAAAACTGCTTCGCTGCTACTTAACCAACTAAGGGAATCCACAGAGATAGGGGTGTGCATGCTTCTAGTCAGAGGAGCTTTAACGAGCTTGCCTACTGACCGCTAGTCAGCTCCCTCCTCCGTCGGAAACTCGTCTAACTATACCCTCGGGAACAGAGTCCTTGCTAGGATTTGAGCCCGTCTGAAAATCAGAGGGGGTACTTTTGCTTCGTCTGACCGTCAGCCAGAAAATTTGCAGCAGTCTGAACTTTCAGACGAAATGTAGGGAGAAGTCTGAACATTCAGACGGAAGTTTTACGCTACAAAATCTACCATTCAAAGTTTTGCCTTGGAAATCCACGTATCGGTAATTCAAAATTCAGATTTTCTGCCAAGTCGAAATTCTCGCATGGATTTCGTTCGCGACTTGCCCCAAGTCACGAAGAACTGAGGGCCTGGTGCACCGAGTTGTGCAACTTGCCCGAGTTCTGCAATTCAGGCTGGTTATGGATTTTGTGAATGATTGAAAGGCCCTTCGCAAGACTCTCTTCGTGTGAAATTCCTGCCGAATCCGCAACTGGTAGTTGCGCTTTTTCCATAGGCAAGTACCACGCCCTGAATTGCGAGTTTCTATCCCCGGCCCTCTCTATAGCAATCAAAATTTTCTGAACTTCCATGAAAGGTGGAGAATGGTTCGGGCGAATTGCGCGTGGGGGGCAAAAAGAACTGGGGGACTGGGATTTTTTTTAATAAAAAAATCGACAGCTAGTGCCAAAGTCAATCTGTAGGGGTGGGAAAGGAATCCACAATCCTGCAGTTTCGCACGGGCCAATGGCCCTGAGCACGTCCACAAAAAATTATGGTGAAGGGCCAGTCAGCTCCCTCACACAGCCCCCAACACGCATCGGCGTCCGATTTTGTTGAAGGGTCATTCAGCTCCCTCACACAGCCCCCAACCAGTGCTAATCTTTGGGTTTTCATGTCAAAACATATATATATATATATATATGTCTTATAGGCTAGATTGGTGAGTACTCTTAGAGAGTACAACCCCTTAGCACAAAAGCACCTTGTATCTCTCATTCTAGTCATTCATTCTCATGTTCATATGGTATCACGCTAGGTTAGCTCCCCCCAGCCCACTCACGCTTCCACCTTAGGCCTAGTCCTAGCCGCCCCCCTTAGCGCCCCGCTGGCTCCTTCGCGGCCCGCTGGCCCCCTTAGCGCCCCGCTGGCCCCGTGCGCCCTGCTGGCCCCGTATGCCCTGCTGGCCCCTCAACACCCCACTAGCCCCGTTCGCGCCCCGCTAGCCCCGTCGAGCCCTGCTAGCCCCGTGCACCCCGCCGGCCCCGTACGCCCCGCTGGCCCCGTTCGCGTCACAGGCCATGTGCGCCCCGCTGGCCCCCTTCGCGCCCTGCTAGCCCTATCGTGCCCCACTCGCCCCCTGCGCCCCGCTGGCCCCGTACGCCCTGTTGGCACCGTTTGCGCCCTGCTAGCCCCATGCGTATCACAGGTCCCGTGCGCCCCACTGGCCCCGTTCGCGCCCCGCTAGCCCCGCTATCTTCCGCCTTCCTTTGCCTTTCTCCTCTCCCTGTCAGCGGTGGTCAGCTGGTGCAGCCGTGGTGATGGCGGACTCACTGCTCCGCCTGGACACGGAGGGTCAGGCGATAGACTTCGAGGCGTGGCTCGTCGACCTCCGCCGTCACCTGACAGGTCAGCGCCAAGACAGTCACCCCCTGGCTGTTCATGTCGATGGCCTGCTTCCCCGCCCCGCTGCGCTTGTTGCCCTCCCTGCTGTCTCCACTACTACTGAGTGTGAGGCCTTTTCCGCTGCTGCGCTTGCTCGTGCTGTCTGGGACTCGCGTGACGCCATAGCACAGCTTGCCATTAGTCACGCCCTCCCCCTGTCTGAGCGTCCCCGCTTTACCACTGTAGCGAACGCCAAGGAATTCTTAGATGTCGTAGTTTCGCTCTATTCTACGCCCGCCTCCGCCTCTGCTGGCCGCCTGATCCTCCCCATGCTGTTCCCTGATCTTGCGTCCTTTCCGACGCCGCTCTGCACTACCCTTTATCTCATTGCCACGCGCCTCCCCGACCGCCTAGCCACAGCCCGCGACCACTTCCTTAGTCAGCATCCGGGTGACCTCACCCTCCCTGCCTTTGTCATAGCCATGTCTGCGATAGAGACCCGCTAGCGCACTATCGCACAGTCTAGCGGTATTGCGCCGGTCCCTATATTTCATGGCAGCTCTCCCTCTCCGTGCCCTTTCTCGGATGTCTCTGCTGCTGTTGCTGAGACCGCCGCTGCGGCCTCAGCGCAGCCACATCCAGGTAAGGGCCGCCACCCCAAGAGGGGGCGTGGCGGAGGGAAGGGGGGTGGGGGTGGGGAGGGTGGAGGAGGTGGGGGTGGGGACGGTTGTTTGGACAAGGGGAACAGCAGCAGCAGTAGAAGCAGCAGCAGACGTAGCAGCAGCAGCAGCAGACTCATCAGCAGCAGCAGTAGCCGCAGCAGCAGTCGCCGCAGCAGCAGCAGTCGCCGTGGGAACCCCCGCCGCCGTGGTGGACTCGCGGCGCTGGTGGCGGTGGTTGTGGTGGTGGCAGGCGCAGCTCATAGTCGGGTGGCGGCTCTAGTGTGGTCACATGCCAGTACCAGCTTCAGACAGGTCCCCACCGCGGCACCGTCTGCGACCGTCCCGGTCACACCACCACCCGCTGCTACCACCGCCTGGACGACCTTTTCCACCACCGTTCCGGTCCCACGTCGGACCCTCCGGACTGGTATGCCCTAGCTCGCCGCCGTGTGCATGTCTTTGAGCTTGACATGGATCAGATTAGGGCTGTTATGTCTTCCATGTATGCTGATGACTCTAGTGTGATTGGACCCTATTACCCGGTGTTGCCTAGCTTAGGTGTGTCCCTTGAGTGTAGTCTAGGCTCCCCTGCTTCGTCAGGCGTAGGACCCTCTGCCTTGTTTAGCCTAGGCCCTACACTAGCCCCTCCGCCGGCTAACGCTACTACGTCGCTCTCCTTTACTCTCGACTTGGCGCGTCCGCCTGTTTCTTTCGCGACCACGCTGCGCTCACGCCGCTTGCTGCCCCCGCCACTGTAGCGCTTGCTGACCCCTCCTCCGGTCCGGTAGTCGCTCGTAGCTCCACTACCCACCCCTGTTCGGCGGTCCCCTCAGGCTTTCTTACAGTCTTGCACATCCCCTCGTTCTCTAGGAA